TGCGCCACCATGCCAGTCTCAGTGGCCCACTCAGCACACTCAGGGGCAGGGCCCTCATGGGCTGTGGTGCAGGGATTGAACCCCGGCCCCTGTGCTTGCCTAAGTGTGTGCTTAGTCCACTGAGCTGCCTTGCAGCCCCTCAAAGCTCCACTGTTAACGCATTCAATAAGCACCACCATGTGTCTTCCTGGCTTTGGTAAAGAAGCCCACCCTCTGTGGTTTTCTTCTGTAGTGGGCAATGGGAGACAATGGACTCATGCTTAGAGGCTGCTAGCACCTTAGGACCCCCAGAGAGCGGTGGCTTCTGGGCTTCTCAGGTCCAGAATTTCACATGCTCTGGATGGCTGCTGAGCAAGTGGGAGTCAGCAAGGGCTCTGCCCTTCAACACAACCTACCCCAGTGTCAGCCCCTTCCTCAGGTGTCAAAAGCAGCGCCTGTGTCAAATTGTAGAAGAAATAATACAGTGCTCCTGCAGCCCTTACAAAGAGCAGGCGCCTAGTGGATGTTAGATGCTGCTGGTATTTGTTGGTTTTTTTAATTTTAAATAAGAATCAAAAGGTTCAAGCTAAGCATGGTGTAGCACGCCCATAATCCCAGCGCTGGAGAGGCTGAGGCAGAAAGGATCGCTGTGAGTTCAAGGCCAGCCTGAGCTACAAAGCGAATTTAAGGCCAGTCTGAACTATATAGTGAGACCCTGTCTCAAGAAAAGATGAAAAGAATCTGTCAAGGGGCACTTACAGGCACATAGTACATCAGAGCAGGAAGAAAACATGGTGCCCACTAGAGATGGGCACTAAGGGCACCCCGAAGCTCATGCTGAAGCGGTCTGCTGGCTAGGACCCTCTTTTTCCTTCTCTGGGCTTGGGGGGATAGGACAGGCTCTGTCTTTGCATCACAGGAAAGGGGTCACTGGGTACTTGGTGTTAAGTATGACTGCACATCATCCTATTAATCTCCAGGCACGCTGAGACCACAGCTGTCACCATCCCCAACTCAGTGAGGAGACTTAGGCCCAGGGATGTGGAATAGGCCCTGGAGGGGGAAGGGAAGGTAACAGAGCCGGGGCGGGGCCAGCACCTATTGCCACCACGGTATTCCCAAACTCCCCGCAGGGCACAAAATGTGCCAGGTTCAGCCAAACCCCGCTGACGGCTAAGCACACAGGCAGTTGTCCTGATGGTCACAAGTTTTGCCCACCAGGTCACTGGCTGCCCTTCCCGCTAGGAGGTCTGACCTTCTCTGGGAGAAGCTCGCCAGTGTGGCCACTTCATTTTGGACTCTCCACGTGCATCTTGTTTCCCAGGTGTCAGTTTCTTCGGCTGAAGTCTTTTGGAGACAGTCAGAAAATCCAAAGGGGAAAGAGGTTGGCTTTGCACAGATACTCCCGAAAGCTGTTCTCATTTAAGGAGCAACCACACCGGACTGCCAGGCTCAGCTCATAACAAGCCCCTGCGCCAACTTCTGGATTTAGTTCTTTCCCCAGGGTTCCCCTAGCTCAGCTTAGTCACCCTCAAGTTCAAACTGATGTTAATAGCCTCTCTTCCCCTCTGCATTGGGCTATTGATTTTCATTTTGTGGACTGGTGCTGGCGGTGGACCACCCTATCCTGGAAGTTTTAAAAGGGGCTCATTCTGGCTTCAAGTTCTCATTAGTACAATTAACTTCCAATACATTGCACAAAGATTTCCTCATCAGTAGCTTCTAACTGGTTTGCCATCCAGATGGTTTTGAAATCAAGGAATCTGCTGTACTTACCTTGAGCTGCCTATTTAGAGATTATGGCCTCGGTCAGTAGCTAAGTGACACAGCTGACCAGGACGGTTCAGTTGGGACTTGCCAAGTGGCACGATGAAGTTCCTGTGGCTAACTTTCTTTATTTTAAATAATTAATGTGATTACTAATCTCTGTTCACTTTTGATTTCCCCCCCAAAATGTATTTTACATTAACTTTCTTCCCCATTTTTATTGTGGGATTTAAAACAGCGCCCTACATCAAGAATAATTTATTATGGAACAGCCTGTGATTTTGTCCTGGTTGACCTGACTCTAAACTATAACTTGCTGTCACAGAGTATATGGCCGCAGATAAACAGAACCTAAGCTAGAAAGATGAACTACACATGCATACACACACACACACACACACACACACACACACACACACACACACACAGAAAGGAAGAAGAAGCTGCGGTTTCTTATTTTCTTCCCGAAGCATAAATTGTTGAATAAGGAGATTTTTAAAAGCTGAAATTGCTGTGGTGGAAACCACATCTGGTAGCTGAATAAATGGCCTGAGACACACCTGGCATTTCAGGACTGGCCAAAGGCAGGGCAGCAGCAGTGGGTGACTTCACAAGCCCTGGCTTCACTCCTGTCATCCACTGCGAGGACATTGTCCGAAACAGGGCATTGTCAAATACAGACAGAAGGAGAACAAATGGGAAAAATCAACGTCCAGATTAGAAGCCACCTAGGTTGTGTTGTTTTTCTTGAGGCCCCACTGTGCCCTTGATTTCCTGATTGTTCAGAGCAAGAATGACGAAGTCCATCCAATCCAGTGATTCGGAGAAAAGATGCTTGTGAAAAGCTACCGATTGAGGTTGATCTGTTCATACTAATGGTTCTTGGCAGGGGGCAGTTGTGCCCGGGGACGTCTGGCAATGTCTAGAGACTTTTTTTTGGTTCTCCTGACTTAGGGGGGCACTGGCACCTGGCTGGAAGAGGCCATTGATGCCATGATTGGCCCACTATCCCCTCAAAAAGAATCTGGCTGAAAATATGAATTGTGCTGAGGCTGAGAAACCCTGGTGTGCGTGCGTGTGTGTGTGTGTGTGTGTGTGTGTGTGTACCCTCAATCTGAATTCCCTTGGCAGGGCAGCTAGGGTGTCATTCATTCTATCCAAAGTTTCTGGAATGAAGTTCAGGCTGCCTCAGCTCAGGTACCTCGATTACATAAGCAGCTTAAGGATTAACTGGGTTCTCTTTCCTTTCGCTAAAGCAGAAGAATCTTGCGATCTGGGGATGCAGCCAGTGGGACAAAAGACTTTTGAGAAAAACACCCAATAGAAAATGGTGCTGGGCTTAGAACTGGCAGCTATGAAGGAGGCCAGCTTAGAGCCACTGCCTTTCTGCACCTGAGCCACCAGCCAGTGGGCTCCAGGGTGGGTGACCCATTCTCATTGGCTCCCTGGACACCTCTGGCGTCTCTCCTGTAGAAGCTGTGTGACTTGCCCGGCAACAGGTCACCAAGGAGGGAGGCAGCAGACTACCCAAGAGTGAGCTCCAATGCTAAACTTCCAGTGATTTTTATTGGCATGACGAGAAGCTTAGGGCTTGCCAAGGACAACAGCCCTGTGTGCTGTGACCGAGACCACAGGTTTTGGGGGTAATATGTCCTACTGCTCTGGACTGCCTTGGCGCCACTGGCTAGAAGAGCTCAGGGAGCTGGAGGAACAGAAACTGGCAGTGGTCTCCCTCTCCTCCCCACCTGGACACCCAGCACTGCGACTCTCTCAGCTGTCCCAACACCCACTACCAGACCCTACCTTCTAGGAAGCCCATGGACTAGGCCTGCGTTTGCTGAGATGCGCAAGGGATAGCTGTGTGACCGCTCACTTCCAGCAGAGCAGGGGAAGCAGCTCTTGATGAATGTACCTTTTGATGGGACGCATCTGCAACTCTTCAGACTGCAAGCGCAAGCTCCCTGGACCTCCTTTAGGCCCTTTCATCTTTTCTCAAAACAGCTTGCATAGACATTTGGGGCTGGGAAGAAAAGGCTGCGGTTGAAAAGCTCTAGTACCAGACCACACTTTGCTCTGTGCCTACAAATGGGGGTGGCCTCGGGTGTGGGCAGTGCAGCCCACTGCAGAACCTCCCAGCCCAGCCAGTGACCTTGGCTGCCATTAGCTGAATGCATGCTCAGTGCCATGCGGTGCCAGGCAGCCAGCTCAGGCTTCCTCCCACATGCCACCTTATAATCTCACAAGAATCCTAGGTGCTTTATGGCTTTCCTGAGCCCATTTGACAGGTGAAAGAGCTGAGGCTGAAAGAGCTGAGGGAGACCCACATGGGTTGATAGGAAGCTCATCTCCACTTCTGTGGTGGACACTCAGACTCCAAGGCCAGAGCTCTTAGCCCTTTGCCCCGTGAAGACGCTTTGGGTTGGCACACTTTGAAGATTGTGATCACAATTGTCATTTTTGCCAGTGGTGACCGAGCCCCCATAATGGCACAGTGAAGTCAGCTCCCATTTGTAGCTAGTCCTAAGAACCATGGGCTGGCCATTAGCACTGGAGAAGGCTCTGTTTCCCTTACCAGGGGTTCTTGGGGTCCCCTTGGTCCCATCAGGCCTCCTGGGTACCAACCTAAAAGTAGCAGCATTCCCCTCCACTCTCCCCTAACTCTGCTGCAGGAAACAGCCCTAAGTACCCACAGCTCTCCAATTCAGAGGGCAAGACCAATCGCAGTACCCTGATCCTGGGCTTGGCCCTTGGAGGCGGGGATACTCTTGCATCTTTTGGGAAACGCCAGCACCCTTGGGGTGCTGTAGGCCAGGAGCTGCTCCCAGCAAGCACCCTTGGGGTGAGGCCAACCAAGTGAGGCTGGAGGAAGATCCGGGGGCCACTGACCAGGTGCACCAGCCAGCAGTCCACGAGGGCCCTCAGGGATCCGCAACCCCCAAGCTCCCTCCGTCGCTACCCCAGGGGTGAGCCGGCGGGCGAGGGTGGCACCTACCTCCCAGCAGTACCAGGACGAAGGCGTAGGGCAGCATGGCCGCGGGCATCCTGTTGGGGCGGGCGGCGCGCTCGGCTGGGTCCCGCGAAGGAGTTCGAGGTCCCGCGCCCCGGCGCTCACGCGCACTCACCTCCCCGGCCACGGAGCTGGAAATTGAGCCGCACACTCATAGGTCGAACGCCAGAGGAGGTGGAGACCGCTCCCGGCGGGAGCTCCCAGTAGCGCGCACCTCTCTTGCGGCGCAGACCCCGCCGACGCCCCTCTGCCCCGTGGCCCTGGCTCCCCCAAGTCTCTCCAGCGGGCAGGACAGCTTCCCCAACTCTCGTCCCCGCGGAGCCAGAGCGGCGCCCACCTCGCGCCAAAGCGCAGCCCTGGCCAGGCCGAGCTCTGCAAGGCAAGGGCGCGGGGTAAGGGAAGCTTCGCAGCCCCGCCGGTCCCGGGACCCCTGAAGTTTCTCTTCAAGCCTTCCACATACACTTGGAAAAGTCGCGTCAACTTGGAGCCCAGCAAGCACAGTAGTGCTGCGAAAGAGGCCGGGTGCCCCAAGCCAGCAGCTGCTCTGTGTAATTAGCTGTCCCCAGCTCTGCTGCGTCTAGGCAAAGTGTGGAGCCGCCAGGGCGGGCTTCCTCCCCACCCCAACTCCTCCTCCTCCTGCCACCACCCCTCAGTTCTCCTCTGGGTGAGTCAGCTTGGGGTGGCAGCTCAGAGGCTAGGCAGCTGCAAGGGGGAGGACGGCGGGATGCCTCCCAACTGGTCCCTGCAGATCCCAGCCTGGCACTGGGCCTCCCTCGTGGCATCCTGTTTGGCAGGCAAGCCTTGGAGAAAGGTGTGTGGGCACCTGGGGGGGGGACAGCAGTGTGAAAGCACTGGATTTATGAATGAAGAAAGAGAATCACTTGCATGCTAAATGTAAATCTGGCTTGTTCCTCCCAACTTGGATCATCCAGGTAACTGGAGTATGGGCTAGTGGTGGCCAGGCCCATTTTCTTGTGCTGCCGTGGACTGGGAGAGGTAAAGGAGGAAGATCAGAAAGCAAGGGAGAAAAAGAAAAAGGGTGTGGGTAAGGAGTGGAGAAGAGGACAGATGAGAACAGCCAAGAGGCAGAAAAGGAGAGAGCCTGTCTCCTTGGCGCAGGCTGGTGTCCAGGTGCCTGTATGGGCGGTCAGCCTGCTCCTTCGAAGGGTTCATGGCTTTCAGACCTGTCACACTTTTATGGGTTGTTTTCCCAGAGGGCCCAGAGGAACCCCTCCTGCCCTTTGGATTTCTTACCAGAAACTTAGATGAGGCCCCCAAGAGCCTCATAAGCCCTTTGTCTTCATCCCCAGGGACCCCCAGCTGGGACCCCAGGCTGCCCTTGCTTTCCTCCTTGCCAGAGGTGGAGGGAGCACGACACAGCATGATCCTACACCAGTGGAAGTGTGTGGAAGACAGCCATGCTCCTTCCTGAAAATGATATTTTCTCCTGGCTTCTGCTGCTCATTACCATGAGCAGCATGAGGCTTGAGGTGGCCTTGAGGAGGCAGCTTGCTCTGAGCCTCCCTGGCAGACAGACGACAGTGACAAGCCACACACCAAGTTGGTATGCAAGGGACAACTGTTACGGGCCAGAGGAGAGTTCCTCGGGGTGCTTATTTGCAATTATATAATTGTGATTATTTGTAGCAATTATGTGTCTTTAAATATGCAAAATTTATAATGACAGTTTAAAAAGGGTAGTGGTTGGGGACCCTCCCTCTGGGCTTTTTGACTGTGGGCATTTCCAAGTCTCAGGTGAAGATGGGGGATTAAGTGTTAATAGCTTGTTGTAGAAAGGGGGTGTCACCTTGATGTCCCAGGTGGGAGTATAATTCTGTACTTTCAGAACTGACTGCTGCTGTTACGGGAAGGGGGACTCCCCACCAAGTGTGGGGTGCATGTGCTGATGGTTGTATTGGTTTATTTATAAGAAGCATGGTGAATGCTTCTTGAGAACTTGGAGCAAGCCAGGTGCTGAGGCCTTTATGTTCATGCAAGCCAATGAGAAGGGGTAGGAGCTAGTGTCTGCCCCATGTCATGCAGTGATGAAGTGCGCTCAAGATCAGAGACTCTCACCCCAGGCCTGGACAGCTGGAAGCAAAGGAGCTTGTCCTGTGATGCTGTCTCCATGAGGATTTCATCTTGTGACACTGTCGGCTCCACTCCAACTCTGCAGGTCGCCAGTGGAAATTCTCAGGCCATAACCGCAGCCTCGCCTGGCAGAGTGTGGGGGTGTCAGGAAGCATGATTCCACGGCGTCTTTTCAGGCTCAGCGCAGCCCTGCAGGAGCACAGAGCTCAGGATCGTGCACGAAGCTAGACAGGACATTGGGCTGAGTGGCCTAGTGCTCTTCACCGCGTGGACGAGGAGACTGCAGCTCAGGGGGCTGGGCCACCCCACCTGCCTGCACGGGGGAGTGTGAACTTCACTCTGAGAAAGTAAGAAGCAAACCAAAACAACCCAAAGGAAAGGATAACAAATGGTGTTTGAAGAGGACACTGCTTGAGTTACCAAGAGACCAAATGAGAACGGAAGGCAGAAACTGAAGCTAAGCTTCATTCATTGACTTCAAATGTGTCTTTTGCCATGACAAAGAAACAAAAGAATGAAATGAAGAAAGAAAGGAAAGAAAGAAAGAAAGAAAGAAAGAAAGAAAGAAAGAAAGAAAGAAAGAAAGAAAGAGAAGGAAGGAGGGAGGGAGGGAGGGAGGCAGGGAAGGAGCTGCGCTGTCCAGACCTTGTCTGCAGCTAAAGGAGCAGCAGTGGCCTCAGCTCCTGACCTCTTTGTGCCCCAGACCTGGGTGATTTGCGATGGCAGCTGCTGTAAGGTCCCCTGTGCTGCTCTGACTCATGTCCCAGGGCATTACTGCATTTCAACCTCCAGAGCTAGGCTGTCTACACTGTTAACTGCAGGGGGCTTCCCAGGGGGTCAGAGCTGCCTAGGGTCCAGGCTGGACACAGGAGTCTTGCTGGGGACAGGAGGAGGGAGGGGCAGCTGCAGGCCAGGTGTTCATGAGAGGGAGAGGGGGCTAGTCTCCCTACTCTGTGTGTTTCCGGCCTCTTCCCTTGAGCCAAAGTCCAGGGTAAGTGGATGGGAAAGCACAGGGGTCAGACGCTTGCTCCCTCCCCCTCCTCTGCAAACACTTCCCTCCCATCCTTGTCCCCATGAAAAGCACCGCGGGAAGATAAGATCACCCTCCAAACTCTGGCTATAAAATGGTCTGTTTCCTCTGCTCCTTATCAGGGGTGTCTGATCAAAGAAAGGGTGCTGGGCCTGGTTATCTAATAACCAAATAAACATCAGGCTGCCTTCCTGGGCTGCTCTGGATGAAGTAGGGGCCAGGCCAGAGGAGGATCCAACCTTCCCAGACCTGAAACTCCCTGGAGACAAGTTGAAGGTCACATAGCTGGTGTGTAGTGAGCCTGGACAGGAACCTCATTCTACCCTAACTGCTTGGATCCTAACTGCCTCCCTGTCTACCTGACCCTTGGGTGCCATATTGAAAAGTTATAAGTTGAAGCTATAAGTAGCCCCTATGCCAGTCTCAGTCTCCTTGTTTTAAACAGGTGTTATGTGCATGGGGAACACACAGGGCTGAACTCAGAACCCAGCACATAGTGGATATGTTATGAGTGAGTGGATGGACTGTTGGGTGATTGGATCAATGAATGGATGAAGGGATAGATAGATGCATGGATGGATGTGTAGGTAGATGAATGGATGGAGGGTAGGTAGATGGATAGATGGAAAGATGGATTAATGGGTGGATAGATGGGTGATTGGAGGATGGGTGGGCGGATAGATGGATGGATAATGGGAAGAGGGTAAGTAGATGAATAATTGGATGGATGGATGTGTGGATGAATGCCTAACTGGATGGATAGATGGTGATTTATAGATGAATGGTTAGGTGGTTGAATGGATGGATAGCTGGATGGTTGGGTAGAAGGGGGGTAGATGTTGACTAGCATTGCAGTTGTTGTAATTGTTCTGGGTGGTCCCCAAGCTGAATGGTTTGATTTTATCCTCACATTCATCAATTTATTAATAACAATTTATTAATAAACTCATTAACTCGCCACTGGGTTGCCAACCCTCAAACTGTTGGAAACACATCTTAGTTCCTGTGGTCAACGGCCTCTTTTCTACAATGGTAGGCTGTGTTTTTCTCATATCAGTAGACATAAGGCCAACTTGAGGGGTGGGTGCTTAAACTCTGGTCAGCAAAGAGCAAACATGTTCTGTCACCTGCCTTGCCTACATGAGAGGGTCAATGTTTTTCTTTTTAGATTTCTGGTCCCCAGCCCAGCCTGATCCTCGGTGTGATGTCAGGGCTTTGGTTACTGGATGAGCAGGTAAGCAGGGGGCAGGGCATTCACAACCTCATCCACCCTATTACCATCTCCTTTCCCCTGTGCATCATGGGAGTGGAATGTGGCGGATCACTCTGTTCATGAGAGTGATAGTTTGGAGCTATTTAGACATAATAAGCCTTGGAGAGAGTCTTCAGAAGGATGGGGCAGCCCAAGGTACTTCCCTCTAGAAACAAAAATATTGAGTGTGAGAAAGCCTTCACTGGCTTTGGGGTGTCTTGTACAGTTCCTGTCTTGGCAGTGCATAACACGCATGTTCAGGCACCCTCACTGAGCCTGGTCTCATTTATTTAAAATATGAGACGCATGAGGGTTTGGGAGCAAGTCCAGCAAGATACTTGAGGAAGGATCTCCAAGTAGCTTGCTGGGGGACAGTGGCTGTCCATTTCAGTGCACTTGCAGCTGCGTGACTCCCAGGGGTACAGGACCCCTTGCTGGGCTCTGTACTGCATGGGCATTGAGAGGGCTCTGGAGATCACCAGGGCAGTTCTCCATGGTTCCACAGGGTCATCGCAGGTTGGGAGGGCAGGGAAGGAAGTCAGAGAGGACAGTTCTTGAGCCTCATCCCTCCCTAGCCTGAACAGCTCCCGTGAAGGATCTGTCTTAGAGTCATCAGAGTGCTCCCTGGGGCTGGGGCCCTCCTAATTGTCAAACACGAGGACTGTAAAGAGTTGGAGTGACACTGGGGAGAGATTAAAAAGTACAGCGGCTCATGAAAGAAGTACCCAGAGGAAAGGTTAATCCATTTGACCTGAAGACACAAACTGCACATAAACAGTGTGTGTGTGTGTGTGTGTGTGTGTGTGTGTGTGTGTGTGTGTGTATGTCAGACAAATTCATGTGGATGCCTTTTTGAAACAAGAGAAATAAAGTGGGCAAGGAGATGGGAGGAGCAAATGAAAATTTCTGACAAATGGAAGATCTAACATAGGCTAGCACTCAGGAAGATCAACGTAATTTTCTGAGTCTTTACAAGTAAGAAAAGCAAAAAGCCAAGGTAAACCTCTGACCTCTTCTTTCTGATCTGGGAAACAGGCGGGGCGGTCTGGGGTGGGGGAATGGGGGCGGGGCAAGCTGTGCTGGCGTAGCCAGTCTGTACTCCGGCCTTCTGGCTTTTCCTTCCGCGCAACTCTGCAAGACTGCAGAGCCTGGAGCTGGAAGCGCTGCTCTGGCCAAGGCGCAGCACCTTCCTGCAC